CATTATTTTTCCAATAGATGGCTTTAGTAATGTGTATCTCGCGTTGTATAAGTGCGATCGGTTTACGCTAGATGGCGTTAAAAAGATAAAATTTCGTACTAAAAAAACTTCTGAGACAGTTTTGTTTGACTCAGTATTGTTTCAGCGCGTGTCAAAGATGGACACCAGCAAAGAGAAAATACGCCATATTTTACAGTTTTTCTTCGATAAAGGCGAAAACGCACGCCAGACGGCTGAAAATGTGAATAGTGTTTATGGTCCTGATACTGTAACAGCCAATCACGCGCAATTTTGGTTTCGTCGATTCCGTTCCGGTAATTTTGATGTCAAAGATCACCACGCTCTGGAAAGCCAATTGTCGAAAATGTCGATAAAATAATGGAAATCGTCGAGTCCGACCGTCATGTAAGCACTGTTTCGATTGCCCAAGAGCTAAGCATTGCACAAAAAACCGTTTGGAACCACGTGAATAAGGCTGGAAACAAAAAGAAGCTCGATATATGGGTGCCACACGAGTTAACGCAAAAAACACATTATGGACCGAATTTCTATCTGCGAATCGCTGCTGAATCGCAACAAAATCGACCTATTTCTGCAGCGGATGGTGACTGGTGATGAAAAGTGGATCACTTACGACAACGTCAAGCGAAAACGGTCGTGGTCGAAACGCGGTTAGCCGACGCAAACGGTGGCCAAGTCAGGATTGACGGTCAGGAAGGCTTTGCCGTGTGTTTGGTGGGATTGGCAGGGAATCATCCACTATAAGCTGCTTCCCTACGGCCAAACTCTTAATTCGGACCTATACTGTCAACAATTGGACCGTCTGAAGGAGAGCCAATAGGAGAGGAATTGTGTGCCATCAGGACAACGCCAGGCCACACACATCGATAGTGACTCGCCAGAAGCTCCTGGAGCTTGGTTGGGAGGTTCTTATACATCCACCTTTTAGTCCGTAACTGGCACCAAGTGATTACCACCTGTTCCTGTCTATGGCGAATGATTTTTCTGGTCAAAAATTCGCCTCAAAAGAAGCTGAAAATCAACTGTCCCAATTTTCTGCCAATAGGGACAAAGGTTTCTATGAGAGAGGCATAATGGAATTACCTTCAAAATGGCAACAAGTTATCGAACAAAACGGTGCATATTTGATCTAAATCGGATCATTCTAACTATGCTAAATAAAGTCTTTAATTTCATGCAAAAATAATGGATTTCTTTTTACTACACCTTATATTTCAAGTATAAATACAGATTAAAAATAAATAACCGTATTAGAATAAAAAAAGAAAATTATTTTATCAACCTACCGCAAGATTATGTCTAATGTAGCTCTTGTACAAAAATAGGTGATATTCCAAAAAACTTGCTTTTTAAAAAAAGGTAAAAATAGAGCGCCTAGTTCTTGCGCTCCGTAAAAAAAGAAAATTGTCATATAAAGTCTGTACAAACATTATATTACAAAATATTTCGTACAACAAACTATACTTTTCAACTACAAAATTTTTGATATCTGGAAATTAGCGCCAAGTAAATATGATTAATTATAACATATAATTATATCATTTTTCTAATCACTTTATTTGTTGTTAGACTTCGTTACATACCTATTTTTTATATGTTACATCATTTTGTCTTAGGTTATTCTGGAATAATGGCAAAAACTCGTTTAAACATATGCCTAACCTGAATATGAACTTAATTCTTTTTAATATTGCATTTGTTTAAAAGAATTTTTAAAAAAATCGGGCTCGACAGTTTTTTCTACATTGATTAACATTTAATTAAAAAAAATCCCGATTACTATAAAATTGTGGTCTCTAGTGATTTTTGAACAAATTTCTATTTGTCCCCACTGTGCGTTGACAAATCTCCGTCGGTCTCCCGATCACGATCGCAATAAGTATGAAATGTTAGGCACTAGGTGCGGAAAAGGCCGCGCACCTTACGAAACAAAAATCACGAAAAATAAATAAAGATTTTCCGAATTTTTATCGTGGGTCAAAAGGCCGCACGGGACCGGCTCCGAAGAAATTAAAGTCTGTGATGGGATGGGTTCAAAGGAACGGAAGGAAGAGAAGAGAAAACGCACGACGTTCCTTCGTTAGCTTGTAATTTATTTAGGCAAGATGCACTCGTTTCGATAGTCGTGCGTGACAAAATGCGAGGTCCAGCACTTCGCCACGAACGCTATCGCTTGGGTCCGAGGAGGGTCTTCTCATGTAAACTTATTCTCGCGTTCGCTCCGCGGACAGGACGACGACAACGCGAAATTCGGCGGCAACGACACAAAGAATTTAGCAGATGAGGGCTCTTACAAATAACGAAGGCTTCGCCCTGCGGGTGGCCGATCCTTGGCAGTCCTCGCTCGGCTCGTTCTCTTGCTTCTCTTCACACTCGCACGCTGGTATTCGCTCGAGACTTTCGGTACGCGATAGTGGACTTAGCGACAGTTTGCATGTGCTCTTGATATCGAAAAAGCTTTTTGCATGATTACGTTGATAACGGCCATCCCTTCGAGATCCGAGATCGCAAACGATCCTCTTGTCGTTGCTTTTCTTCTCAGCCGGAGTCTTTGATCTCGGCCAATCAGTACAGCTATCGTTGTTGTCTTGAGACAGTAATTGTCTCAAGGCGCTTTCATTTTCGATGATGTGCCTCACGGTCTTGATCGAAACACATCATTTCTTCTGGTTAGTATTGTCCCTGAGCGGCATTGTTCTTGGCCTCAGCTGAGCGATGGCTCTTGCTCCTCGCCGCAGTGCTTCTTAGACATCAGCCTGAAAAGGTAAACACTGCTGACGATATCAGATCTTGACATGGCAATTATGTTATTCGTGCTATCGAATATTCGAGAATTGTCGAGAATTCATAAGAAATTTCGGGAGCGATCATTTGAGCGAGCGATGGATCTGTGGCTGGTGATCCCTTGTTTCACGTCATCCTCGGGCTGTTCCTGTCCTAATGGCCGGCAAGGGGAACCTAGGAGTACAATTCCTGGGACGCGACGACCAACCAATCTGTTCCGCGTTTACTCGCAACGCGTTCCTATTTTCAGTAATACATACACAAACGAGAAAAAGGCACCCGATAATCGGGACACTCGCGAAATCGTGCGCGTTTTACTTGGGATGAATGTCTCCATGGCTGCCACGTCACAACAGTTTCCTATAGTTAATTATCCTGAGGGAACATTCGTGGAAAATAAATAAGGTATACTGCTTATATTGTTTATTGTTTTGTAACCGCGATGCATCGCGTGCCGGATTACGCTCGCCGGTTCGGGTTCGTAGGAGGCTGAATAATTTTTGAAACAGTGGTATCGAAATAAACTTGGTCGTATATGTAAAATATGCTGTCATTATACATTAAAGTAGATATTTGATGTCGACGCCGTTGGTTGTTGGTTTATACGCTGATTTATACGCTTGTCAGATGTTTTGTTTCGGCGATGACGCGCGAGGTGTTGCGCGCAGTGCGCAGGACGCGGTCGGTGGTGTTGTCGCGTCGCTTCTCCAAAAGTGTATTCGTTTATTGATCTTTCCGCAGCTTGTCTATTTAAATGCCAGTTGACAATGTCTTTAAATCGCTGCTATACGATACAGCGCTATATAGACGGTATTGCAACTGAAATGCTTTCGGGAGATCGCCCCTATGGCGATAACTCGGATGCAATGATTGCTCTAGCAAATTGGTTATACGGTACGCACAGGCGGAGGTTGCTTAAGCAGTCCGTCTGCCAGAGCGGAGCCTTGGTTGGCTTCGGTTGCCTTATTTATCGAATAAGGTCTGCTCGTTTGTACGAGATCGCGGATGCGAAGAATACAGACTTGCGGACGCGTCGATGCGCCGCGGTCACGGGATAATCCCGATTTCGCTTTCCGAGTGTGATCTCTAGTGATACGGAGGCCGACTCGCGTCCTTGCGACGGCGGTGTGATCCTGTCGCGGATCAATACGGTACGGTGTTGAAGTTGCGCTGCAACGGAGTGATGCTTCGATGATACGGAGATGAGTTCGCACGCTGCGACTCAATGACGGTGTGATCTCGCTCGCGTTAAGGCGAGATCGAGATCTGGTTAAACGGTGGGAAGATCGCGTTAAGGCGTCCTTCCTGCGAATTAATTCCAGGATCTTCGGCGGCTTTGGAATCCTACGGATTGCGGTATTTAGCTTAGTGTCGGCGTCACGAATTCGTGAGCCGACGGCGAAGGGACTGCTATCGCGTATCCGCGAACAGAAGTCTGCCAGGAGCAGTATTGCGGAACAGTGTCGATGTCACGTATTCGTGAGTCGACGGCGAAATGACTCCTGTCGCGTTTTCACGAACGGCAGTCTGTCAGGAGCGGTGTCGAGAAGATACTTCGAGAATCTTATTCGATATCGGAAGATTCGGAAGATCTGATATCTCAGGAAATCCGATCATCGGAATCTGGTCTCAATCTGACATCCGCGAAATTTTATACTTGCGAATCTCGCTTGATTCGCTGTGTACCACGGATCTTCGGCGGTCTCTTTGTTTACGCTGTCGCGGACGCGTTGTTCTCGCACGTTTTCTTTGCGTATCTGTCTACTGCGTTCTTATGCGTTTATTATAATGTTTTTCGTAACGATTTCGGGCGGATCGTTACAGTTTATATACTACAGTTATTAATACTTCTACAGTTCTATAGTGATAGTACAAAAATATAAGTTTGAGCGCAAATAACTCAACTTGTTGTGAAAGGCATTATTGACACCATATGTGGAACTACTTAATTTTTTCGTGCAATTCCAGTAATTTTTATTTGAAATATTTTCTAAGTTTTTAATATATTTTTGAAGATATTAATTGTAATTATGTTTTTCGTATGTTTTATCTTATATAAAAAGAAATGTTTATTATTTTTTTAGGTTTTTGATGATATGATGAGTGAACTGTTTAAAGGCGATGATTATGATCCAACCAAATGGAGAGAATTTAGTACATTACAAACGATACAGTTTGTGTATTCTTGGGGACATGATATGTGTGAAAAAATAATAACAACCAAAGCAGCGAAAGAACTTTTGAAAACAGTCAAGAATGTTAAATTTGATGTCATAGTACAGGATGTTACGTTAAATCAATGTCTATACGGATTATGGGAGGTAAATAAATTTACTATTGATAATCTATATTTACATTTACTGTAGAGAGTAAAACACACAGAATACTAAAGTATTAGTTACTAATACAATATTACGACATGAAAATTATTAGACAAGAATAAATAAGATCAATGAAATGAAGTATCAGTAAATATTAATTAAAACATGTTAGCCTCTCTCTGAGGGTCATGGTCTTGATGTATGTTATCAAGATCATCGTATATTTGTATATAGTATGCTTATAATACTTTTTGATTTCTCTTAAATGCATATATAGTAACTAAAAGTTCCAGTAATTCCATTTATTAAACTTCTCTTGTTAGTAATTTTTTTGGTAAAAATGCCGAATAAAGGACCATCTTCCAACGGTCTTAATATTGACATATATTATAAAATTGACTCTCCTGAGTCAATAAAATTTTTTAGCCATCGTGTGAGACGTTGAGAGGCGCCTTGTGCGTTGCTCTGAACGCTTTATGCTACCTAAACATTTATGCTTTCGATAAAGCATCCTTCTCGTATGTTTTCTCTATCATAACAAGCGTCTCAGTTGCAGATTTTTCGAGTTTAACACAAATCTTTATCACGTATTGCTGATCGACACTGCGCTGCATTTTGACCCGTAACGCGACGCTCAAACAGCTGTCCACTTCGTAAGCGATTTGTACTCTGTAAAGGCTCAGAGGCAACCGAGCTGGGTCGGACTGTTTATCTGACATCCCCCACAAAACCGTCATGCCCGGGGACTCTGTCCCCCGATCCTTTTGATTGGCCTAAGAAAATCAGTCTCATTACTTTTCAGACAGACCATGTATATACATACGCACCCATCGCACCTATCGGGCGGGCGGCATGTTTGCTGGCGAGCAGTGTGTGAGTGTATGTGTGTGGATCCATCCTCCAATGATTTTGATGTTGACATATATTATAGAACTAATCTCCCTGAGTAAAAAAGGTTTTAGCCGTCGCTTATTGTTCATTAAAAAATTATTAACAGAAAAAGTCATGAATAGAATGTATTTTTCAGGTATTATATACGTATTGAAGAAGGTAACATTTGTGCTATAAAGAATAGGTTACGTATATACGTGTACAGTTTACCATATTTCAATAGATAGAATAGATTTGAGTTAGTTTCTTTGGAAAGGAGGTGCGGGGGGAGGGGAAGAGCCCCTCTCTTGCGTATTTACGTGTACTATTTTACATACATACATCTATTTCAACTTATTATACATACACAGTGTTGAATAATTACATATTATTTATTGAACTTTTTTGCTAATAACTTTTTAATAAACAATGAGCTCATCATTAATAAACAATCAACGATTAAAACCTGTTGATTGTTACTCAAGAGCATGTCCTTCATAATATATGTCAACATTAAGACCATTGGAGGGTGATCCCCTATTCGGTATTTTTACTATATTTTGAATAAACAATATGAGTGACAGTTTAAAGTCTTTAAATGTTATTTGAGGCAATGAACTTTACATTATTTGTTAAAGTTATCGTTCTTGAAAAGTAATCCATTTTTATCAAAAATTACTCTTGGCATATATATATATATATATATATATATATATATATAAATTAGAGGTATGCGAATTATTCGAAGTCAATTCGATTCGAATCAAATCATTGGAGGTTCGATTTAAAGTTTGTTTTCGAATCAAACATGTTTAAATTAAAGTTATTCAGAAATTTCGGATTACAACCAGTTTAATTTTGAATCAAACACTTTTTTTAAGTTATTTTATATTTTGTCAGGCCAATTTGTTCTCGGTGCATTTGTATCTTCACGTACGTCTGTTATCTGGAAATAATGTTTATGATCAGCAGAAACAACGTTTTGCTGCCAGCCGTATGTTGCCAGCAGCTTTGAAACTGTTTGTAAAATTTCTGGACATTTAGCGGTTGTCTTTTCCAACGTGTGTTCACTTATTATTATACTTATATTATTCATCAAGGCTTAGTTCTCCATCAATGTTGTTAAAGTCGTTTAAAACCTTAAGAGGGGTTTCTACCTTGTAGAGTCAAAAAAAATCGATTTTTTTACATATTCTTAAAGATTGTACTTTCAAAAATATGTGGTAAAAATTTAAAGTCAAAATTCGAAAAATTGATCAAGTTACAGCCTGTTAAAAAGTCAGGTAGCCTGGCGGAGCGCTGCAGCGCATATGCGTGTCGCCCTCTTTTGAGTCTTTGCAGCTGCTCTATTACTCTTTTGTTATATTTCTACGCGGCCACCGTTAGGGTGTTAGTCAGGTCATTTTCTTCATTTTTATTTCAGTATACTTCGAAACGTTGAAGTGGAAGAACGTTCTTCCAGTTTTCGATTTTTTACAATTATTTTTTTCGGTTTTGCATCATGTTCGTTAATACAAAAGGAAGTAAAGCAAGTAATGTGCGGCCTGGACATAAATGCAAGAGAAGAAAATTTTATGGAAATCGACATACAAATGAAACGGAGCTGTCGTTCGCTAGTATTTCCGCAAAAAAACTGAAGAATAAAGACGATTTTGAAATCACAATTGATGCCATGCATAGATATCGAATTATACACTTTCTGTTTGTTTTTAATATACTGAAAACTTTACTGAAGTGCAAAAAATGTGACAGTGATGTAAATTTTTATGTGAGAGAAGAACAAGGTTTGGAATTTAAAATTGTTGATTGCGATTGTGACTTAACTGAAATTGATTCTTGTCCCAAAATAAACAACAAATCGTTTGAAATAAATCGACGAATAGTTTTTGCAACGCGTCTCACTGGAGTTGGATTATAAGGCATCAATACTTTTTGTAGTTTGATGGACTTAGGTCAAGGAATAGCGACCAATGTATATTATGCTTTGAAAACATCTGGATTGCCAGTAAAACAGTTTTTGATATTGTCATACTAAAGGCCCCCTCAGAAGAGAAGGAAAAAAATACTGAAGCAGGAAATGAACCTTTGCACTTAACTGTCTCGGGCGATAGAACATGGAGTAAGAGAGGTTATTCGTCATTGTTTGGAGTTGTTACGTTAATTGGAAAGTATTCAGATAAAGTTGTGGATTTGATCGTTAAGTCTACGTTTTATCAGGCTTGCAATTATTGGCAAAAGAAAAACGATGAGGGATTTGAAGCGTGGTATGAAGAGCATGAAGAACATTGCGTAAGCAATCACACTGGAAGCGCCGACAAAATGGAAGAGGATGGTGTGGTCGAAATGTTTACAAGATCTGAGACACTTGAAGTTAAATATATAAGGTGTAGTAAAAAGAAATCCATTATTTTTCCAATAGATGGCTTCAGTAATGTATATGTCGCGTTGTATAAGTGCGATCGGTTTACGCTAGATGGCGTTAAAAAGATAAGATTTCGTACCAAAAAAACTTCTCAGACAGTTTTGTGATTGTTTGACTCAGTATTGTTTGAGCGTGCGTAAAAAATGGACACCAGCAAAGAGAAAATACGCCATATTTTACAGTTTTTCTTCGATAAAGGCGAAAACGCAAGCCAAGCGGCTGAAAATGTGAATAGTGTTTATGGTCCTGATACTGCAACAGCCAATCGCGCGCAATTTTGGTTTCGTCGATTCCGTTCCGGTAATTTTGATGTCAAAGATGCACCACGCTCTGGAAGGCCAATTGTCGAAAATGTCGATAAAATAATGGAAATCGTCGAGTCCGACCGTCATGTAAGCACTGTTTCGATTGCCCAGGAGCTAAACATTGCACAAAAAACCGTTTGGAACCACTTGAATAAGGCTGCATACAAAATGAAGCTCGATGTATGGGTGCCACACGAGTTAACACAAAAAAACCTCATGGACCGAATTTCCATCTGCGAATCGCTGTTGAATCGCAACAAAATCGACCCATTTCTGCAGCAGATGGTGATTAGTGATGAAAAGTGGGTCACTTACGACAACGTCAAGCGAAAACGATCGTGGTCAAAACGCGGTGAGCCGGTGGCCAAGCTAGGATTGACGGTCAGGAAAGCTTTGCTGTGTATTTGGTGGGATTGGCAGGGAATCATCCACTATGAGCTGCTCCCCTACGGCCAAACTCTTAATTCGGACCTGTACTGTCAACAATTGGACCGTCTGAAGGAATCAATAGCCCAGAAGCGGCCAGCTTTGGCCAATAGAAGAGGAATTGTGTTCCATCAGGACAACGCCAGGCCACACACATCGATAGTGACTCGCCAGAAGCTCCGGGAGCTTGGTTGGAAGGTTCTTATGCATCCACCTTATAGTCCGGACCTGGCACCAAGTGATTACTACCTGTTCCTGTCTATGGCGAATAATTTAGCTGGTGAAAAATCCGCCTCAAGAGAAGCTTGTGAAAATCGACTGTCCCTGTTTTTTGCTAATAGGGACAAGGGTTTCTATGAGAGAGGCATAATGGAATTATTTTCAAAATGGCAACAAGTTATCGAACAAAATTGTGCATATTTGACCTAAATCGGATCGTTCTAACTATTCTAAATAGACCCTTCAATTTCATGCAAAAATAATGGATTTCTTTTTACTACACCTTATATTAATTATATCGGTGATGGTGACACAAAAACATTCAAGGCGCTCTTAGACAGTAAGCTATATGGAAATAAACTTCCAATTACAAAAAAAGAGTGCGTTGGACATGTCGAAAAACGTATAGGTTCTCGACTGAAAGCTAAGAAAAACAATAAAAAACTTGGTGGTAAGGGTCCTGGAAAATTAATCGATGCCTTAATAAATGACTTATCGACATACTATGGTTTGGCAATAGTCCGTAATTCTGATTCTGTCGGTGCTATGAAAGACGAATATGGGCTACTTTTTATCACATGTGCTCGGCGAATAAGAATCCACAATACGATAAGTGTCCGCCCGGTGAATCATCATGGTGTAAATGGAAATAAGTCGAAGCTAATAACGTTTTGTCAGAATATAAACATCCAGCTCCACTTACGTCACAGGTTCAAGAAGTCATTCGATCTATTTATGAGGACTTATCGTCGGATGAT